TGCAACGTTACAGAACAATTTTTTAGCTATTACATATATATATATAAAATTTAAATCCTTTTTTCAGAAAATAAAACATGATCACAAAAGAACTTGAAACTTCTCGTATATATATACACACACACACACACACACACACACATATATATATATATATATATATATATATATATGATTTTTTTTTATTTATACGAGTGCTCGCGTTTGTGTATGTATGATCGCAATTTTTCACAAAAATAAATTGGTAGATGTAGAGAGAAACATACCTGATTTAGAGAAGTTGCAAGAAAGAAATTGCACAGGAAGCAAATGAATGAACTCATCCAAAATAATCATCAGATCAACGAGATTTTTTATCAAGGGATAAAGAAATGACATATGGAACAATATGAATGAATGAATGATGAATGACAACAGATCGCCAACACAACTTCTTTGAAGGATTTCTGAATAAATGAATTGATGTAGGTTGTTGTACGCATACCACTTGTTAAATTACATTATACATAAAACATCAGGCACACTCGTAATGTAATTTTTTATTAAAAAAAGAATTTTAGAACTAATAAAACAAATAAAAAAAAACTTTTTTTTAATTTAGAATAAAATAATTTTAAAATTTGATCGATCAAATAACATTACTTTGTAAAAAATATTAAAAAATATAGATTAGTTAGAATAACATTTTGGAATTAAATAAATATGGAGTTCTGTTGCACAGCATGACATCCAGCGTAACCTTTAATCTCAAAAAGTACCTTGCCTTAAAATCCCAAACAGTACCTTGCATTAAGGATGTAACAAGTAAAATTGGCTGCATGGATATTCTCAGCTTAACAATATAACGTAAAATAATCGCATACGGTGACAGATTGCAAGTGTCATGCTAAGTTTACTTGGCTCTCGAAAAGCTCAAACGTGCAATACTTTCAATACTTTTTCGTATGAAAATATCATAAAAACAATTTTGGTGTTTATTTTAACAAAATCATGAAATACGAGAAATAACACAACTTTGGAAAAATACCATGGAAACTTTTCTGCAACTCATTATAAATAATATTATAATAATAAAGAATAATATTCGACCATTCAACGAGTTGAGATCTCTCTTCACAATGTGAAACTTCTCGATGATCAAAGTGAGCAACTGAACAGACGATGTCAACAAGCAGTTCCCATGTTCTTGCAGCAACGTTATTATGTTGGATTCATCACACTGACCAATGTCGAAGACATTAAAATTTTTAATTCAGTGAATAAAAAAAACAAACAATTAATATAACATAACAAATCAAAACTTTTACTCTTCAACCCAATTGCTACTTATTATAATGTTATTAAAGATCTGACGAGAAACAGTTGTCGAATTAGCTCAGACGGTTAAAGTGTCATGCTATTGCATTGTATGATAGCTTGATTCGAATACAATCTGGTCCAAGTTTAGATTGTTATTCACTCCTTGGGTTGAGTGTATGGTGCGATGCATGACCTTACAAACGTATGTTATATCACGTGAACAGTATAGTTCTAGCAGCTTAAAAGTTAATTGCAACCATGAAATGACATACGGAGAGCTCTGTGTCAGACAGAACCGCATACAAAAATAAAAAAGCAAAGAATTACATTTTTCTGATTGCTTGTTAGATAGAGGCATCTTCCTACAATGAGCCTGTGAATGAGAGAAAGGAGATCATGCATGTGGTCAGGCGGTGTGAGGACCACATTCCACGACTGATTGGCAGTTGTCGTCGTCGCAGCTGCAATCTTCTTTGAAGGAGTGCATGACTTGCTGTCCGGTGTTAGTTGCGACGCTTGTGCCACAGACAAGGATGCACATGATGTAGCCGAGCATTTTTTCTCAAGCTGATTTAAACATGATTCCTGTATAAATATAAGTTGGTAAATGATAGCTGTTCAAAGACTAATGCAGTGTTCCCAACGGGGGCGTGTGGGAAACATTGCATCAAACTTCATGATCGGGGGCAGTGGGGCTTTACGGGCTAAGATGGAAGGGGATATAGTTGGTACAAACAAAATCTAATAATAAGAAAAAGCCGCATACAATCATAAAATATAAGAAAATAGATGATTGATTGATTGATTGATTGATTGATTGATTGATTGATTGATTGATTGATGGATGGATGGCTTGATTGATTGATTGATTGATTGGATTGATTGATTGATTGATTGATTGATTGATTGATTGATTGATTGATTGATTGATTGATTGATTGATTGATTGATTGATTGATTGATTGATTGATTGATTGATTGATTGATAAAATAACCAAAAAAAAAATTTAAACAAACGGGGAAAAAACATTTTTCACCGAGATTGCAAATGATTATCTACAAATTTCATTATTTTAAACATTTTAGCATCATCAGCATAACGATACAAATTAACAAAACCGGTTTCATCATATACCTCAACATATCATTGACATAAAAAATATAAATAACTCGGGGCTTAGAACACTGCCCTAAGAAACACCAATCTACTTTAAAACGTTCCGATAAACACCTATCTAACTTTACAGAAAAAATACAATCAAGCGACAACTGACACCATACATTTTCGGTTTGTTATCAACAACGAATGAGAAGTCAAACGCTTTTTCGAGGTCAGTTGTAAATCACATCAATTATATAGCCATCATCAATAGCAGAAGTCAAATTATCCATCAATTTTAAAAGTTGCGTAACGACGGCCTTATTTTGATAAATCCGTACTGTCTGTAATCAAAAAAATTGTTGCGTATAAAATATTTAATAAGGGCATCCTTAATGAACGTTTTGAATGGCTTGCAAACGACGCCACAAAGCGGAATAAGTCTATAGTTGCAATGGTCATTTTTAAAAATTGGTGTAACTGTACTGTATCGCCATGCATCTGAGATGATTTTATATTTTAAAACAACGTGTTGAAGAAAAAACATTGGTAGTTGGAGAGGGAGTAACAGCAGTCAACAAGAGCTCTGGGGTAAATAATGTCAAGTCTTGCAGATGTGTGCTTGTTTATTTCATAATAAGCTGTAATATGAGAAAAAATTTCTGTTTTAAAATTTGAGCTAGCGTTTTTTAACTTTTCTAGACCCTATATTAAGAAGTTTTTAGTCATCTCGTTCGACGAGAAGATGTCTGTAATCGTTTTCTAATGTAGGGCTTTTTAAATTTTATCGCCAGGAAAGAGAGCACTTTTCAGGAGCTTTTCATCATTTTTTTGCATATTCATTGCCAACTTTATCTTCCAAAGCATTGTATATAATTAAATTTTTCTTTCACCTATATTTTTCACTTTTGAACTCAAATGTATTTTTAAGGCTGTCAATAGCTTTTTAAACAGCTTCTACCTCTTCAGTTGTAGCTGCCACCTGTCTGAATGCGTAGTATTATAGTTTGCGTCTTCACCTCCTCTCGAATGATTTTTGTCTGATCAACTAAATTATCTTTTTGTATCAGTAATCATCTCTTCTAGTTTTTTATTTGTTTCAACCTGTTTACTTTTGACTTTAAGAAGTTTTTTTATCAAACCGGCATCTGTTGCATCTGTCACAAAAATAAAGCAAGCCTCCAACAACAACAACACACGTTTAGACGACATTTTCCCCGAGATCGGGGGTTGCCGTTTGGCTACCTATGATGAAACCGAAATACCCCTCGACGCCATTCCATCATAAGTAATTTATTTCGCTAATTTTTACGCAGGACGCCTTTCCTTACGCAACCACAGTTATAAGCGGTGGGCCTAGCCTTTGATGATCCAACATCACTCACAAGGCAGTGAGGGTCAGTTTAATGTCATAACCAGGACATAAAGCAAGACTCCACTGTCAATAAATTCCTGAAGAACGTTACAACAACCCTGATTCCAGGCATCGCACAACAAGCATTTTATGACTTTATCTTTGTTGCCATTTTGCAGGCTAGGCATTTTACCATCTTCCATTATTCAAAAACATGTAAGTAAATAAAGAGAAATTAGCACTCTGTACGCAATACATATGGCGCTGTATTAAATGACACATTATCATCATTAAATAAATAAATGAACAAATAAATAAACTTCCTACATAATAATATAAAATGTACTTCAAAGTTGAAGGACAATATGTATAACTGTACAACTTTAACGAACAAAATTATAAAAACTGAAAAAGTGTATGTATACGACGAAAAAATTATCAAACTCAAAATTTAAATTAAATTAGATATTAATTGCAATTCAAAATTTTATTAAAATTCCACTGTCATCCAAAAATGAGAATATAACTGAACTACTCTAAATTTTCTCTTGTATATAAATTCAAACTTAGCAATACAATGATAGAAAACAGCAAAATTTAAGAAAAACTTATGAAAACTTATGAGCAACCAATTATTAAGTTGACCAAACAACAGTCAATGACTCACGGAATATTGCTGAATGTTGAACAAAATAATTTCCATAAAATTTCCAGTAGGAGTGAGAACTTCAGATGGTGACGATGAAGAGTGAATAGTTGAGAAGCCAAGCAAAGTTGATAAAGAGCTGCTGTTGTTCAAACTCTTCAATAAGATCTCTAGTTGGATCCTCTGTATCAGTGAGCGATTATATAAAATTAAACTTGTCAAATATCTTAGTCACCAAAAGTAAAAAATGACACACAAATGCCACACAATGTATCCACCATAACACACAAATGCCACACAATGCATCCACCACAACATATCAAGTGCCACACAATGCATACACCATAACATGTAAATGCCACACAATTCATCCATTATATAATACAAATGCAACACAATGCATCCTTTACATGATACAAAAGCACCTTTCCCTTGGATATTTTTTGCCAAACTTGGTCCTCCCCTCTAAGCAACTTATCAATTAATTGCAATCTAGTTGACAATGGAGGAAGTAATAATGGCGAACCCATGGTCAAAGTCAACCAAACATTCTAATTAAAATTGATGATGGTGGTGGTGGTGGTGGTTCAGTTGATAGAGACAATCATAATACTGAGATGAAAGTAATAAAGATAATTAAACAAACGATAACGAGGTTTTATTCTCGTATCCTTGTATATCAATTTTGTTAAACTTAGCTGAACTTGCATTACTTATGTATAAAATACAGTTAAATTAATAAATCAACGAATTTAGAAAAATGTAAACATCAAAGGCAAGCTGTGACAGTTCTTTATCAATTAGGTCGAATAGGAGCTGTCTGATGTTGTGTGCATGGTGCTCCATCACATCTTCATCATCATTCCTCGACATCATGAACAAAAAGTGCGTTCGTAGCAGGTCTAAACAGTTCACAGCAAAGTTCTCCTCATCACTGTTAATAGAAATTTATTTGAATATTGAAATCGCACAATCAACATACGACAAAAAACAAACTTTTTGTTAACGAAAGGTAGCATGGGCTGGCTGTCATCCAATTTCCTCATGAATTTGTCAATGAGTAGTTCAAACTGATGAAATGTCGTCTCGTGAAGATCGACGCATAATGTAGGTAACACAACGTTGCTCTTTTTATTCCTTCAATTCAACGGTCAATTTTTGATGACAATAATCATTCAAGCGTAATCAATAACAAGTGCCCGACCACAATTAAAACGTAGGGGCCGAAAAATTCATATCTTAACTTTTTTTGGCATTGTGCAGGTTGTTTTTGCGTCAATAACAAACCTTTCAAAACTTATAGTAAAACAAAAAACCTTTAAAATTGATATATGGTTATCGCGATTAATCAAAGTAAATAACCGGCAGCATAGCGCAATTCCTACGTGACTGGGAGAACTAAAGGTGCAACGCGGGTCTCCATTTGTTTATTTGGAACAACTCAAACAAAGTCCCAAAAGTGAAGTGATACGAAGTTTTATAACATTTGACTGACATTTGTTTCAAATTATTAATTTCTACTGTGAAGGTTTATATTTTGGTTTTGAGTAATAAACACTCAAAACCAAAATATTTACACGAGAGGTGTCACTAACTGCCGCGAACCCCGCTACACATGGTGTCAGAAAAGGGATTCCTGCCAAAGAGGAAAAGCAGGTAGTGGCAGTGATAATAATTGGTAAAACTGTCTGTTGGTAAAGTTATAGTAAAAATGAACGGGAATAAAAAGTCTGCGACCTAATAAGTATAGAGAAGTTCCCTCTTGAATAATAAAATTTAATTCAAAAAAAGGTCAATTTTCGCAGTATAATAATAATAAAACATACCAACAATTAGAAAATTACAAAAGCAACGTGAGGCCAATAGTCCAACCCAGAGTTCATTTTTAAATGTTCCACCACAACAAGCGTAACGAAAAAAAAATCACTGAACGAATAATTTGGTGGATGCAGAATTTGTTTATGTTTAAAGTAACAACAAAAAATGGAACGTACTGCGAAGTCAAAGTCAAAGAATAACCCGACCGAGGACGATGATGTCGTTATAGTTAACCCGGTACAAGCCGCACAGATAAGAAAAATCGAGATGGAGATGAGGATAATGGAAGAAACAGCAGCAGAAGCAAAGAAAACCGCAGCGGAAGAGTAAAAGATGAAAATACAGACAATAGAAAAGGCTGAACAACGAGCGGAAGAAGCTAAAAGCCGAATGAAGCTGGAGGAGGAAGACAGGAGGTTACACAGAGAAGCTGAACTGCAGCTAAAAAGTCGAAAGCAGCACTGCCCGGAAAGACCAGACTGCCAGAATAATTCGAAGATTCAGCCCAATGCTAAGAATGTGCCCGACAGATCCATGGGAAATATCAGCATATTTTCAGCGGATTGAAGGAATCTTTGATAGCTATAAAATTTATAAAGACTTGCGAGCAGAATTGTTATTGGCAAATTTGGAGATGAAGATGAAGAGAGTTTTGAATGAGATAAAAACGGAGGACTATAGGAACTATGAAGCCATCAAGCAGCAAATCATACGTTCTTGTCGATTCTGCTCGATGAAGCTTCAAGATGAGTTTTTCTTAGCTAGGAAAAGATATAATGAGACCTTACCTGCTTTTGCTTTAAGACTACATCGACACCTACGGTTCTATTTTCAAAGTCGTAAGATTGAAACTCTAGATCAAGCTCTATCACTGTTAGTTGTGGACAGAATTAAGGAACTGTTACCCAGAAATTTGTTGGAACATGTGCTGACTCAAGAAAGAGATAATTAGTTACAGTATGATCGCATGGCTAATATCAGACAAATACTTCCAAAGACCATTCATCAAAGTCCGAATTCAAGCCGGGCCAGTTTGTGAAGCATTGGTAGATAGTGGAGCCGAAGTTTGTGGGATCTCGCAGTGCCTATGTCAGAAGCTGGTACTTTCCCGAACGGAACGGATGAGGATCAAAGGATGGAATGGACAAACCACTGAGGTTGATGGCGCATGGGTGATGTTGACTCCCAACCATGATGAAGAGATAAACATCGCACCTGCTGTCCGGAAGTGGTGTGCGGTGATTCCTAACGGCAACGAACAATTAATTATCACACCAAAATTGGTAGATTTGTTAAACATGGCAGAACAGTATGTGGTACCTGCTAAGAAACCTAAAATCACAGAAGACAACACCTTAGTAAAGATTGACGAAGACAAGACACTGGCGTTTTACAACATCGATGATCCAAAGTTAAAGTGCCCGGAGAGGTGTGGACAGCCAGGTAAATTTGATGTAAATGTGGACACCCTTGTAGCTGACATAGCATTCTGCCATTTGTTCTGTGGACGCTACGAGAAAAACCTTCAGCAACCACACATATCGGCCCGTTTATAATGTTATATGGAACGTTGCCGAGGAGACCACTAACTATCATCAAGAATCATGGGTGGGAGAAAGATGTTTACCCCTAAAAATTGGAAAGCAGTCAGAAGAATACTTGAAAAAATTGCGGCATAATCTGGAAGTAGCACACTGATATGCTGTAAATAACGCAGGAAAAGAAAGTGACGTTATGCGCACTACTACAAACTGCGTAGTACCAGTGTCAAATTTCAGTTAGGACATCCAGTGATAGTCTTAGTTCTAGCCATGTGGAAAAATAAGTGGTGCAACAGGCACCATTATAAAAGTCAAATCTCCACATTCCTGTATTGAGATGGGGGGACAGAAGCATCATGTACATGTAAACCACATCCACATGTGACTAATAGTAAGGAAAAATGGAAAACTATTAACTCGCTTATGAATAAAACAGTTAAACGACAAAAAGTCCGATTGTCTGCATTTTGAAAAAGAACAAAAGAGTTAGACTGGTCGTAGATTACCGATATGTAAATAAATATTCGGCGAGTGACGGATATCCTGCCTCTGATTTACGTGAAGTGTTACAGAAGGTCAGCAAAGCCAGATATATCAGTAGTTTTGATGCAAGGAGCGGATACTGGCAGATCCCCATGGAAGAATAGTCTCGATGGTTGACTGCCTTTGTGTGTGACAAGGGTTTATATGAATTCAAACGCATGCCCTTTGGTTTGAAGTCCGCGAGTATCACGTTTGTTCGAGCCATGAAGGAAATGACCAAAGAAATCCAGCCCTTCACCGAGGCATACATCGATGATATCGCCGGGAGGATCATATGGTACACCTTCAGAAGTGGTAAAGCAGGCTGGTATAACCTTCGACATACGAAAGTGTCGATTTGCAGAGACCAAAATACCCCATCTGGGACATGTTGTGGAATCGGGTGAAATCGAGACAGACCCGGTAAAGTTGCAAAAACTCGACGATATTCGCACTCCAACTACAAAGAAAGAGGTCAGGAAGATCCTTGGATTTTTCAACTATTTTCAAAGTTTCATTCCCCATCTGCCCCGGACCTCACAAAGAAAGGAGCAAATAGTGTAGTACCATGGACGACCGCACATCAGAGAGTGTTAGAGGCGGTGACACGGCAATTAAGAAACGCCACTAGTCTGTATACCATAGACTATACTCGATCCTTTGGTTTAATTACAGATGCCAGCAATCACACGGTGAGATGTTGCTTAGTGCAACCTGATGACGATGGTAATGAACGTCCGATCGCATTCGCAAGCCAGAAGTTGTCAGATACCCAGCGTCGTTGGGCCACAATCGAAAAAGAGGCGTATGCCATTTTATGGGCTTTGCAAAAATTTCGTAGTTGGATATGCATGTCTGTCATCTATATCTACACTGATCACAATCCTCTGACCTATCTGACGGAAGTGGCTCCGAAGAGTTCTAAATTGATGAGATGGGTATTGGCGTTGCAAGAATATGATATACACATTCGATATCAGCTGGAAACAAGAATGTAGTAGACCTACTCACCAGGCTAACAGAGCCGGAGGAGGTGACTGGAGATGAGCGTAGGAAGGTGTGAATATTCCTCCCCAGAAATATTCATCATTTGGGGGGAAGGTATGTCAGGGTTCGAGGTGCCCAGTTAAGCACCTCATGATTAGTTAGAGCTATGAATGCGCTTTAGAGCAACGCCTGGAGATACAAAAAAAAAAGAAAGAGTGTCTCAGCTGGTAGAGTGGTTGGTGTAAAAATTAAAAAGTATTCAAGGTTTGGTGGTGCGCCAGTAGTGTTGACAACGTGTTTCAACAACAACCGCGCCTTCAGTTAGTAATTTATGTTAACGCGTTCCAACAACAACCTCGTCGTCAGTTGGTAATTTATATTAACGCATTCCAAGAACAACCTCGTCTTTACAACCCGTTCGACGTGTTCACGTCTGGTCTCAGTCGACAGTAGTAGACTCAACAACAATTCAACCTAGTTGCGACCGTCGTCACCGCCGAACGCCTCACAACTTCGTCTCAGCCGGCGACAACCTAGTAGTCAAGTCTACAAGAATCACACATTCGTACTCCGCCATTAGAAAAAATTTGAAAAAAAAAGCAATTAGAAATTCATGAGTTTTATGAAGACACATTTCACATATTTAAAGAGGAAAATTTTGCAATTTATATATGAATTTTTTATTACATCGACTTCATGCATATTTCACATAAAACCAAATTATTTTTCAAGAGAGCTTTTTCTATATTTACTTAAATTGTTTGTTGACACTAATGGAGTATTTTCTGAAATACTTTGTAAGCATCTGTTGCTTGAACCAATTGATTAATTTTTAAATTTGAAGTGAAATCTCATATTAAGCTCAAACGATATATATTCAAATAATGCCAAAATGTTCATAATAAAAACAATAAATATTAACAAATCAGTTACAAGAAATAATATTCACAGTGATATTTCACAGTGCAACCAACAACAAATTATTTGACAAACACCTCATAACATTATTAACACCATACAGAACAGGAACACACCAACATGAATGAACAAACAAGCAAACAAACCCTTGTGGAGTGGACCAAGCAAAACAATGAGAAGTGCCAGCAGATACTCTGTTGAGTCCGAGTGAACTGAGTGAAGGCAATTTTTGAGGGCTGTCTAGCGGTCCTTTGTTCACACTGATGCCACATTGAAACATTGTGTTCGTTCCCCAGGCATACACGTCACCTTCTGCATGGAGTTCATTTGTTATTCAAATATTTTTTCGTGGCATTTGCAACAGTCAGGATGATAACAGTGGTTGTAGAAGCGCTGATGGTCCAAATAACAACGACAACAATTGTTGCCCTTAAATAATCCATAATTATTCCCATTAATTTCCTTTCGAGATCAATGTTTGACATAATTATAATGAGTGATAATGATGATGATGTACAAAAATTGAATGTGATTATAACAATGGTGATTACAAATCACAACAAGCAATACAGCAAAACCGAACAATGATAATAAAGTACCTTTTGTAACAGCCAAACAATGAGAATCTCCAGCAGATATATCAACCACACAAACATGTTGTAATGTTGAAATAATAGTTGGTCCTAACATCAACCCTTCCGTGCCTACTCCAACACATGACCCTGAACCCCAAGAGAAAAGCTGTGTACAAATGAACGTGTGAGTGAATGTTTGGGTGCGTGGTGGTTGTGCCAAACGGCAGAAATATTCTCAATCATCCTTCTTTATTCGAATCAAGTGACTTATTAATCTTAAACGCATCAGTTTCAAATATGTTTCCATAACTTCGGTGCTTTTGACACTACACTTGATACTACATTGTAGAACGTGAAAAACAAAGTACATTTGTCTTATTCATAGATGTGATGATTTCAACATGTATTATACATTCATAGCTTATCTCGAACTCAGACCAACTGGATGGATTGAATTTCGTAAATTCTATGTAAACAAAAATCTTCGGAAGAACAGAACTTTTGTAACAATCAGCGAGAACCAACTGTTTTATCATATTTTAATAATGACGCCATACGTTACTCAAAAATTATTGAAATGCTAGAATCATTAAAAAAATCAATTATAGAGATGACAAGAACACACGCACAGTAAATCAAAATCAGCCTCCGGAGAACAATTGCAAATATTCGCCAAAAAAGCAAATATCCCACAGTTATGAGTTTCAACATCTATGGTTCTATTTGCTGTACCCTTCAATTTCTGTGCTCACAACTTCATTAATTTTAAAGTTTAATATAGTGAAAAATCTCAAATGGAAGACAATAAACACGTGATGGGACCACATCCAAACAATCTACAAAGCACAAATGCGAACACCAAAAAACAACACAAAGACAAGCGCAAATAAACATTAGCAAAAATAAAAGCAAAGATTACAAACACAATTTAAAAAAACTAACAGTGCAACCAAACAGAACAACCACAAACACAACAAAGAGAAACAAAATAACAACATTACAAACACAAACATACAAATGCGAACATGAAAACTACGAGGACAGCAAACGCAGATAGAAACAGAAACACAAAAAACATAAAAAAAAAGAGACTAGAACAGACACAAACACAAAATTTAAGTAATACAAGTAAAAACATACTTTGCCAGCTGAAGTTAAAGCTAGTGATGACTGGCAAGTGGCTGCCAGCATTTTCATGTGTATGCCCCTTAGATGTTCGATGATTTTAGGTTTCAACAATCTAGCCACATCCCCATGTCCCAATTTACCTCGAAGCAAAAGAAAAATCAAAATATAGTTTCCAATCATACGTCACATCATCGAGGAGATTGTCAATTGCAGATTTTAAACAACTTAAAGAGGCAGCATTTTAAAACATTAAGATGACAACGAGTAAAATAGCGCAAATAATAACATCGTAAGAGAACAGAGAAACGAATGGAAAAAATGAAAAAAATATTACCATTTGCTCCATCTCCGAAAGACCAGACCACCCATCCCTCTTGAGAGAGAGCCAGTGTATGCGAACTGCCACAACAGACTTGTGACGCAAGTTTCACATCATGAACCAGTGTAGGTACATTTCTATGCAGGACATCTCCAAGACCTGCGTGCATGAATGCGTGCGTAAAATTCCAAAGTCAGTCTATTGAAATAAAAACTTACATTCTGCAAGCCCACATAAACATTTGATTTGAAAAATCATAATGCTTTAAAATATAAAATCTGACTTCTGTGACAAATTTGGAAAATTCCAAAATTAAATCTTCCATCCAAAAATTCATTGAAATCTTAAATTATTCTATTTTAAATAACACAACTTAATCGGAGTTTGTTTGTTAAAACTAAAAAGAAAATCAGAGATAAAAAAAACCGACCTAACTTTCCATGTTCTCCATCACCCCACGTGTACAGTTCTCCATCTGTAGTAACAACGGCACTATGTCTGTACCCAGCAGACACACATAACACCACCTGCAAGTAGAGTATGAGCAGTTGTGCACAACAGCTATATGAAAAATGATTTACATCTGAATATTTTAAAAACATGTTCAACACATAAATTACATTGAATATAATAAACAGCGTTTTAGTGTCACATGCTGACTCTTATATAAATATATATAGTATATATATAATATATATATAGTATATATATATATATATATACTATAATATATATAGTTTCTGAAGTTGTATCGTTTGTTCTTTACTGTTTGTGCTGTGTTGCTCTTACAGACTTTGTATACGAACTGAGATACTTACTATCGTAAACATTATTGTTTTGTGCTGGATTAACTCTACAGACTTGTGAAACAAACTTAAATATTATCGTCATGGCTAAATCTCATTCTGCGGAGTCATTTGATAATATGATCTCTAAAGTTTTAGAAAAATCCAACGATAATGTGATGAAACTAATTGACAAGTTAATGGACAGATCAAATGAAAGTCTTGAAAAAATAATTATTCTGTCCAACAACAACCTGGAAAAACTGTTTGACAAATTTGACTCAAATGTTACAAAATTAATTGAAAAGTCAAATGAAAATGTGAGAAAATCATTGGCTCATTCAGAAAATATATTGAGTAAACTTTTCGAATCAACTGTCATTCGTATGGAGGCTCTCGGCAACAGTTTCGAGCGAGCAGTCAAAAGTATGTCGGAGGCCGTAACTGAGTCAATGAGCCAACTTCTTACAACAGTGGCTGCTCTGAGTACCAGTGTTTCAGAGTGCCAAAAACAGGTCTTAAAAATGAATGAAACTCCCCTGATTGAATCAATGACCAGGGCCCTATGGGCGGTTGATCAGGAGCGTAAAGACGAGGAACGACGAGCCAGCAATGTCATTATCTCTGGCATGGATATGCAGCCCGGAATCAACGATAAAGACGCTGTTTCTTCATTATGCGAGAATTATCTGACACTTAAACCGCAGATTGTCAAAACACGTCGAATCAACAACAAAAAGGTCTGTGTAACTCTATCAAGTCCTCAAACAGTTGACGACTTGATATCATCATCAAAACTATTGCGTTCATCGCCGAACACCAAACATATCTTCATCAACCATGACCTTTCAAAACGACAAGCCGAGCAGGCCTTTCTTAAACGCCAGGAACGACGTCTTGCAAGACCAAATCAGATATCCAGCGGCGTGCAGCCCTTTCGTTCCACGTAATATGAACCGGACACTTCGTATGTCTCTAGCAAATGTTAGAAGTTTGCAGAATAAAAAGAATGACCTTAATTTATTTTTGTCAGAATACGACCCTGACATTTTTTCTGTTATTGAAACATGGCTTTCACCAGAAGATCGTGATGAGTTAATACTACCTCCTGGTTTTTGTATTGTTAGAAAAGACCGTGGAACACGTGGTGGTGGAGTGGCTTTTGTCATTAAAAGCTCGGTTCATTACAAGGTCGTGAAAACACCAACAAAATACTCTCACATCGAAATAATCTCAATTGATGTTTTTTCTTCATCGACAACATATCGTTTCATCTCCTACTACCGCAGTGGTGGATTTGACAATTTGGCTGTCGACTATGCCATTGATAGCACACAATGCATCAGGGAGCTATGCAACGGTAATGTTAACTGCCTACTGGGCGATTTCAACCTACCGCTTATTGATTGGAATAACTATTCATCGCCAGATAACGCAATTTATAATTGTTTCATTGAACTTTTTAACGATCTTGGCCTGCATCAACTGGTGGACCAACCTACACGAGGTCAGAACATTTTGGACCTGGTTCTTTCTGACGATGCCAGCTTACTAGCCGAACTGGAAGTTTCCTGCCCATTTGCTTCAAGTGATCATTGCTGTGTTAATTTTACAATCAACAATTCGACCAACAACAATCCCCACAACAGAACATTTTTTTACGATTTCAACAGAGCAAACTACACTGTCCTGAATGATTATTTGTCAACAATAGATTGGGATTGCCATTTTCAATATTGTTTTGATGTTAATGCCTGTTGGAATATATTCGAACAAATAATCAACCATGCCATTTCAACCTTTGTTCCTTTGATTGGTCGGAATAGTTTACCGCCCAAGCGTTCAGTACCCAAGCCACTTCGTCAATCATACCAAGTCAAACTCCATTTTTGGAAAAAATGGAAACGAAGTTCAAATTCAGAGGACAGAGATCTCTACCTATCTACGTCCAAAAAATGTTCCAATTTAGCAAATATTTATCGCATGACTAGAGAAAACAACCTATTGTCGAAAGGAAATGTTAGAAGTTTTTATCAATATATTAATAACAGATTATTTTCCAAACCTCAAGTTTCCAGCTTAAAAATTGATAATAACAATACACCCAGTGACCCGATAGTTATGGCAAACACCTTCAATAGTTATTTTGCGTCAGTATTCACAATTGATGACGGAATACCTAGTACTCTACCTTCCCGTACTACAAAAACAATTGACGACATCTGTTTTACTCCTCATTCAGTTTATCTAGCTCTACGCAGTTTGAAAAATTCACACTCATCTGGTCCTGATAATATTCCCAATATCCTTCTCAAAAGGTGTGCTTCAAGTTTAGCTGTTCCTCTGTATCATATTTTTGATACATCCTTTAAGAATGGGCTTCTACCCACTATATGGAAGACTGCTATCGTTACTCCTATTCACAAAAAAGGACCAACTAATTACCCCAGCAACTACAGACCTATATCGCTAACATGTTCGTGTTGTAGAGTCATGGAAAAAATTATTAACGGCAGTCTCCGGAATTATTTGTTAGACAATAATTTAATATCTTTCTTTCAACATGGATTTTTGCCTGCCAGATCAACTTCCTCTAACATCATCAAATTTGTTAGTGATTCTTTGTCGACCCGTCAAACAAAAGAAAGTTGCGATACAGTTTATCTCGATTTTCAAAAAGCATTCGACTCAGTTTCACATGCCAAGTTGATTTGCAAATTACAGGCTTACGGTGTAACTGGCAAACTATGTAGCTGGTTGACTGATTTTTTACATGAGCGATCTCAATTTGTTCAAATTCTTAACAAATCATCTAGTTCTACAGCTGTAACCAGTGGTGTTCCCCAAGGAAGTGTCCTTGGGCCAACTCTTTTTCTCATATTCGTCAACGATATAGATGACTGCATTTCATCATGCCCTGTTTCTATGCTGCTTTTTGCGGACGACATCAAATTATACGCCCGATCATCTAACTCTATTCAACTTCAACGGTCAATCAACAATATCGTATCATGGAGTAACAAATGGCAACTGCCACTGTCCCCTAACAAATGCTCAACTTGTTCCTTCATTCCATCAAGAAATACTACAGTTACAAATCAATACACGATTGATCACCATGTTTTAACACCTAATGAGTGTTTTAAAGATCTTGGCGTAATAATTGACAAACAACTTAACTTCACTCGGCATATCAATGACATCACGCACAAGGCATCAACACGAGCTCGGCTTATAATTAAATGTTTTACATCAAGAGACAAAAACCTACTAATTAAAGCTTATTGTACCTATGCTCGTCCCTTGTAGGAATATTGTTCTCCTGTCTGGAATCCTCATTATCGATATCAGCTGATGAAGATCGAAAGTGTTCAGAGAAGATTTACTAAAGCCATCCCCTCAATCCGCCATCTTCCATACCTATCACGTTTAAACTCAGTTGGCTTGCAAACGTTAGAACATCGTAGATTGATTTTCGACCTGTGTTTTTTATTCAAAATATTGAACAACATCATCAACTCCGATCTGATTGATCAATTTACCCCGTCGTCATATCTATCAACTCGAGGTCATCACCGTAGACTGCACGAATCCAATTCTAATAACAACACAACAAAATACTTTTTTTGCAACAGGATAGTTAAAATTTGGAATGCACTGCCTGAGGAAGTAGTTTCCTCACCTTCATATGCCATTTTTAAAACGAAACTACTTACTGTTGACCTTAGAAATTTTTTGCAGATTAAATAACTTAATAACTATCCATGTTTATTGTTTGTATTTTTCTGATTATGGTCTCCATATTATGCAAAACCTGTCATTTCTTTCTTTTTCGAGATACATTTTTCTTTTACTCTTTGATATATTATAAATTATATAATATTTCAAACATTTAACACAATTATGCTTTCCATATATTGTTCAACTTGTCTTTTTATACTGTATTATAGGAATCTCGTGTTGTGTTCTATTGGAATTAAATGCTGTATATATGTGTTTGTGTGTGTGTGTGTGTGTGTATGTATATATATTTTTAGCTGTTCATATTTAATTCACTGTTTATGACCTTGACCATACTTGTTATTCTTTAACTTTGCTCATTAATGATTAGCTGAATGATATTGACGATGTGACTGGTAGTTATTTCCATATTTTGGTTGTTTTCATTATATTTCTGCTTCACTGTTACGATTAATTAGTTATTGAATCTTCTTTTTTTTTTTTTTTTTTTTTCACTGACTGACGTTTATTATATTTGAAGAATTGTTGATTTTTTCCCTGACTGGGTAAGCGGCATGTCAATGCCCTCTGGTCAGTTGGGTCAAATAAATAAATAAAATATACTATATTATACTATATATATATAGTATATATATATATATATTATAATATATACTATATTCTATATATACTATTATAGAAAAAGAAACGAAGATTGTACATGTGTTTTGTGGATCTAGAAAAGGCTTTTGATCGAGTACCGAGGAAGGTCATTGAATGGGCGTTGAGAAAGAAAGGAGTGAATGAGAGACTTGTTAAAGCTGTGATGCAGCTGTATGAGGGGGCGAAGACAAAGGTGAGGTTCGGAAGGGGGATGTTTAGTGTTAAGGTAGGAGTGCAACAAAGATCAGTGTTATCACCGTTTTTGTTTGAAATTGTGATGGATGTTGTGTGTTGAGGGGTTGTTATTTGAGATTTTGTATGCAGATGATTTAGTCTTGATGGCTGAAAGCATGGAAGAATTGCAGTTAAAATTTGACAGATAGAAAAGTGTTATCGAAAAGAAAGGGTTAAAAGTTAATATTAGTAAGACGAAGGTAATGATGAGTGGGGAAGGTGGGGAGCAAGTGATAAGTAAAATAGACCATTGTGGGGTATGTGACAGGAGACTGAAGGCTTACCCGGTATTGTGTATAGGATGTCAGAAGTGGGTGCATAAGAGATGTAATGGTGTGAGGGAGCACTGAAAAAGGTGGAAGGCACGTTCAAATGTGAGAAATGTGTTCATGGTGTGATTAATAGGACGGACGCAAGGACGGGGTTGAGGGGGGGGGGGGTATTGAAAGAGTGGAAAGCTTTGTTTATTTAGGGGTTAAGCTGAACGCGGATGGAGGATGTTTGAGCGCTGTTACGGCTAGAGTTCATGTGGGATGGATAAAATTTAGGAAACTGGGTGGGGTATTGTGTGGAAAGAAATGGTCAGTGAAGATGAAAGGGAGGGTATATAAAGCATGTGTGAGAGCAGCGATGGTATATGGTGGTGAAACTTGGGTGTTGAGGAGAGAGGAGGAAAGTGTTCTGCAGAGGGCTAAAAGAGCTATGGTGAGGATGATGTGTGGAGTTGAAGTGAAGGATAGGAGGAGTAGTACAAAGCTGATGTCGATGATGGGACTGGATGAGGACATTGTGACATTGATAAGGAGATCGAGATTGCGGTGGTATGGACATGTGTTGAGGAGGGATGAAAGGGTCGGGATTAGGCGAGCGTTGGAGTTCGAGGTTGAAGGACTGATAGGAAGGGGTCGTCCGCGATTGGGATGGAGAGAGCAGGTGGAGAAGGACAGAGTGAAAGCGGGGTTGCACGATGGATGGCAAAAGCCATCTACGCATTAAAAATTGAACTATTATTCACCGTAAATAAAACCATTTTTAACTTAACAGCTCGAGAATTACAAGGTATTCAACGTTTGAATCGGTTTATCATTTGTGTTTATCTTCAGTCATGGTTTTCATGCAGGCTCACTGCAGATGCACCTGTGAATGATATTTTGTTGATACAGCGTTTGCATGAATACGACGATGCAGTTCTTGGTTCGACTGGATTAAAAATGATGCTGCGTCATTCTTGGTACATGAGTCCAGAATTGGCAACTCTTGCTCTTTTTTCATCTCTCCTGTCTGACAAAGAAAAGACTGATCTTGTCCGCACAAAACAAGCAGATCGAGGCCCACATCTGATGAAAACACTACCACAAAGTTTTAACAATTTGCGTGCGTCTAAAACATTTTTTTAAACATCCAATATTGATGCCAGTTTTCTTGATGTACCTGTTGAAAACTGGTCAGATACTCCTTCTTTCCAAGTTGCAGCAGTGTTTGTAAGGAATCTGGTTTGCATCAATGACTCTGCAGAACGGGGAGAAGCGTTGGTACAACATTTCAATGAAACAATCACCAAAGACGCAGAGCAGAAACAATTTTTGCTTCAAGTAGTTGAACAGCATAGGAAAAACTTTGCAGAATATAATCGTGAACTGCTAGCTAAAATTTGAATTATTTGCATTGCATTGCATATTCAAGCGAACTGAAATTCAATCAATCATTTTTGACCTAATTTTTGAAATTAAAAAATAAAAGGCATTGCAGATTTATATATTTTTTCACAATTATATATTTTGTTTCATTTGTATAAACAAATCATAAAACATTTATAATCATATCATATAACACTGTATCAAAAGTTGGTAGCGAACGATCAAACACCAAAATCGGAAACTTTCGACCCCTTGGGGGACCTCTAAACATTGTCCAAATGGGCTAAAATTTGGCAGGTAAATTACTGTTACTATACCGACATATTTAATGGGGTGAGACATTAATATTTTAAAACTTCATATTTTTGGAACACCCTAATATGTATATATATATATATATATATATATATATATATATATATATATATATTATATATAATATATATTATATTATATATATTATATATATTATATATATTATATTATATATATATATATATATATAATTATATATAATTATATATATATATATATCTTCAAATGCAAATAAACCTATGGCAATTATAAACCAAACACATGCAAACAGATAAACACACACAGATAGACACATTCGGAGACAAACGCAAATGCAAATAAACACGGATCAACACACTTGTACTGTACACATTAACTCAAACCTTCCCAAGTAGTGGACCAGCAATGAGCTTTGGAGAATAAACTGTGACATTGTCTCCATGACCCAACTTACCTCCATTACCTGAAATAAAAATTGATTCAAGCACAATAAATTAAATATCATGAAAAAAAAAACAAAATCTATGGTAATCATTTAAAAAGTTGAAAACTTAACATCTGACTGTAAAACTATTGAACCACAGCAGCAACAGGACAGTGACAAAAAGTGATTGCTTATGTTAGTAGGGTCAAAAAAATTATTGTGCTACGCGAAAAAAATTGTTAGTAGCCGTTTATTTTTTAAATACTTTAGGCAACATTTGTTAGGTAAAAATTTACCATCAGCACTGACTATGCACCGTTGACGTGGTTAAGAAACAAACCCAACCCCATTGGTCAGCAGACAAAGTAGTTAAAACAAAAAGAGAAGTTTGATTTTAATATTTTTCATAGGTCAGGTACAAAACATGAAAACCGTGTAAAAAAAAGAGTGTTACAAACCAGAGATACGGGCAGTGAAACAGATTAAAAAAACGAATTCGCCGACCTGAGAGAGGCTCAATCTTTGGAAAAAACGATCAAAATGTTTGTGTAGTGGTAGCAGGAAAACGCTACCAAACCGCCCTGGGACGACATATCAGGTGAAGATAAAACTTTCAAAACGCTTTGGAACTTATGGGACCGTCTGGTAATCAAAGACGGAGTGCTATATGTAGGCGATTTAAAATAGCGGAAACTGGAGATGTGATTTGGCAAGCCTTGGTGCCCCCAAATAAGATAAATTCAGTTTAATTAATTTTTCATACAGGAATGAGAGTTGGACATTTAGGCGTGGAGAAACTGAAAAAATCCGTCCAACGAAGGTTTTACTGGCCAACATGGAAAACCGACGTTGAGATGTTTGTCAGGACGCGTGAAAAATGCAGTCGATACTACCGGGGTAAGTCACTACAACGAACGAAAATGAGAATAATGTTGTCTGGCATGCAATGGAAAAGAGAAGCTCTGAATATCACCGAGCCTCATCCTAAATTGAGGAAGGGATATATTTTCATACTGACTATTTTAGAACGTTTTACAAAGTGGGCAGAGGCATTCCCTTAACCTCAGAAATTTTCCAAGGTTTTGAATGCCACTGCAAATACTTAAGATCATGATAGAAAATTTGAAAGTGAACTGTTTTCCACACTATTACACAATTTGGTAATCGAAAAGTTAAGAGCATCGCCTACAGTCAATCTTCCAATGGGGCGATAGAATGATTCCACAAAACTCTAAACTTGATGCCGACCAAGGTTGTGGAGTAATCCCAGAGTGATTGGGAAGAATATTTATCACATGTTATGGCAACGTATTGAGCAAGCTTACCTTCGGCAACAGGGTTTATCCCAACTAGAAAATTATTTCATTCTTCAAGTCTGATAGACAATATGTTCACAAACGACAATATCGAAGTAACTTTATCATTCACTATTTCTCTTATCGTTTCTCAATATTATCTGTAATTAATTTTTCTCATCTGAGTAATGCAAAAGAAAATATTAAGCCCATTTATAAAACCCTCGATTTCAAAAATTAAATTCGCCTTATCAAATGAACAGTGGGAGTCGATTGTTGGAGAAACCAACGATTACCAGTGTTTGGACAAATTTTAAAATAAATTTCAACGAAGTTCCGGACCCATATGCTACTTTGAAATATTGCCCACCCACAAAAATAAAAACTGTTGGTTGAATTCGGACTTCATCAAGTTAGTCAAAATAAAAAATAAATTATACAAAAAAACTAACTTATAATCCCACAATTAAAAACTTGTTAAAAGTTTCAAAATTTTCTACCATCTAACAAACGAAATCTTTAAAAATTTTATTATCAGAATTCATATAAAAAGTCAAATATCGCACTAAGGCGTAGTCACCTGACATATGAGTTTAAAAGCCTTTTCAATCTTTGTACACATCAGCAGATATTATAAATCAGAAAAACTGCATCAGTATCAATATGCCTTACAAATATATGCACAAAAGCGAAAGTGACATAAAAACTGGCTAGGAAACCATGGTGACACATGACATCTTCGACAACAACACCAGCACAATATACACAAATTCCAATCTCAACCACATAATGATCGTTGAAGCTATCTCCATCAACATCAGACAACCTCAGATAAAAAAGTTAATCTTATTTTCTCAAGATATATGAATTTATTTTTTCGTTTTCTATTCGTCATCAGAACAGCTTACCTTTAAATGCTATTTATAAGTTTAATTGTGATTTTTAATTGATTTGTTTATTTTTACTGTGACCAAATAAGTGATGCTTTTGATTAGAAAAAAATGTCAAGTATATATAAGACAGGAAAACAAATTTAATTGCAAACCATCTCCCCAGCTGTAAACTGTGCCATCAATGCTCAGGGCCAATGTATGTCCATCTGTACCTTTTGACGAACTGACCTTTTTGAACTTTGGCTTAACCCCTCCACAACCACCTTCACTTACTGTTATCAACTTTGGAGATGTTTGCACCTGGAAATTATACATCTATATAATACAACTTATCACAACTATATTTTATGACTATCACAAACACAATTTTTAACATTTAATATTTCAGCCATGTTCTTGATATTTGTTTAACGACATTAAAAATTTTACAAAATTATTATTTGTTAAATAAATTAAAATACATTTTTATATATTCCATTTTAATTTTAATTTTTCAATTTAATAGCGACAAATTCCTTAACAAATTGATTTTATGCTCTCAAAATGGCAAACGCAGAAACGGCTGTCAGCCAGCAGTATGTTATGAAAAAAATGAATCAAAACAATCACAAGTTGTCAAAAATAAATTAAAAATGTAATTAACACAAAATGGGGCAGAAAACATCATTTCAAATTACATATATATACCTATGTATGTGTGTGTGTTTGTGTGTATGCGTGTGTACGTGTGTGTATGTGTGTGAATGTAACTCTGTAAATATGTGTGTGTTAGCGAGTGTGCATGAGTAACAGTCAAGGCATAATGATTTATTTTCTGACTGGTCATATTTTATAATTAATTATACAAAACAAATGCCAAACCAAAACGTAAATGTCAAACTAAAGCTACCTGAATGTGAGATTGTTGCATAGGATTAGAGTTTAATGCACTGGATGGTCCAAGACCCAATCTTCCAAATGTATTCTTACCACATGTCATCATTGAACCATCTTTGTTGATCACAAATGTACAGTATTGCCCTGCTTCTATCTATTTTGATATTTCAATCATTGTTGTCACATAAATTTGCTAGTTTAAGCTCAGAACATTAATGTACTATTTTAACTTGTGCCGTTTTGCAGAAGCATATGGCATCAGAAAAAGATTTAGAGATTATGGAGAGAGAACACAATTAGAGATGAAGCTGCAATTGAATGTACAATCAATGGGTGAAAAAAAAATAAAATATTTAATAATGAATTAGGACAAAATGGTGAACAAACTTCAAGCACATAAAAAAAAAAAAATATTTAATAATGAATTAGGACAAAATGGTGAACAAACTTCAATCACACCAGCAGAGAAGACAGCAGACAGCCTCGGCACAAGAACTTTATCCTGGCTTCCCTCCCCTAACTGGTAGCTGTTGTTGCTACCCCATGCATAAACATCTGTGCAATTCTGTGATTCATGACTCACCGCTGAACCACTAGTACTACAATCTGGCAGTTTTGTTTTGTTTGAAGTCGCAAGGATGGATTTTGTTGTTGCTGAGCTGATGCATTCATTTGCCAGCAAGGAGAGCTGGGTTTGATTAAAAGTTAACATTATTATCATTTCTTCATGTAAAATAATTTATATGTTAACTGTATATAATGCTACTTACTTTATGAAAACATTTGCTTTACTGAATTATATGTTAAAATTCGTCAATCTAACTGGTCAATAAATTCACCCATAAGCCATGCTACTATGCAACGCTGTGTAATATTAAGCGACGTCATTTATCCAAACGGAATTAAATTCATCAATTTAATGAAAAAACTAAAAAAAAAGAATATTATAGAATAGGAGGAACAACTATTAAATGAGTCAACAAATGAATGAGTTCATGCCAGGAAAATAAAAAACTGGAAGAGTGAAAGAAAGAACATGTAAATATTTTAAAAAGTAAGAAAATGAAGAACCAAATTGAAGAAAACATGAAGGTCAAATTACAAAAACCAAATCACATATAACTACAACATAAAAATAATCCAATTAATGAATGAGCAAATGAATGTATGAATAATGAATAGAAAATTGAATGAATGTGCAAGTGATTGGATAAATCATTGAATGCAGGAATAATTATTTGCTTACCTTCTTCAACAGGATCAGTGCAGCATTGTAGAAATGCACGGACCCACCATTGTGGCAGACGTCCAAGTGTGTACTGCTCAGAACTGATTTCTTATTTATCTTATGTGTAATTAAAAGGAAACATTTTGCATCTATGCAGTTGCACATTCATTAATGTTTAAAAATACTAACAGCATCAGAAACAATTTGGGCCATCTCATTTAAAATATTTGTAAATTGATGGTGAGAGATGCTTAGATCAGCCACGTCAGTTAAATCGGGATGATGAAACATCAAGAGAACAGTTTGGATCCAATCCAACATGCCACATAGATGACCACGTTTCAGGCACATGAGCAGCATTAATTCACAAGCCAACCTCTGGCCATTTTTATTTAATTCAGACATATCATGACAGGAAGACTTGAGAAATTTCAATATTTCATTAAGGGAATAAACCCCTAACTCAGTCAGCAGATTGTCATCTGATAAGCTTAGTGGGGGCATTGCGGATACAGCATTCACTGCTGCTTGTAAAACACCACAACTCATACTGTTTTTATTATAATTTGGTAACAAGGTTCTCAGAGATTTGTCTATAACCCAATTCTCTCTCAACAAAGAAAAAACCATCGATAAGCCAGTTTTTATGCTGAATTCCAAAAAAGGATTGTTTACAAAAAGAGTGGATCTAGCTTGACCGTTAGATGGAGTGGAAAAGTTTTTCTTAGGCTTGTGTATCTCAAACAAGCTGGTGGTTCTGTTTTGGTAGAGAAGTGAGTCTGCATGAAGCATGCGATTTAATACTGCCAAGTGTTTCTCCATTAGTGTTGAACAAGCTGATTGCCTACTTAATGCAAACATTAGAGCACCCTGACATTTCAAAAATAAATACGTGACCTTTTTAATCTCATCATGGGGAATTGTCACAACATGTATACATGGAACATTTTCATACAGGACATTTTTTTGTACTTCGGTGACTTCCAAGTTTTTCAAAAGCTTCTGATACAAGAGTTCAACGGATGATCTTTCATAAAGTAAGTGACTTTTTTCAGTTCTCCAGGTTAAATTTAAATGATCACACCAGCTGAATTTTCTTTGCACATGAGCCATTATTTTGCCTGTGTTCACTATAAAAATATAATAATATTTTTACTATTATTATACGTTATATATTATAATTTATATTAAAGATTAATGATAATTAGATTAATTAATTTCAAAATATCACTCCTTTACCACCTTCTAATAAATATAAATAAGTATAATAAATATACATATTATATATATATTTACTATGTCATAAAAATAAAAAATGTATTAATATAAATTATAAAACTTATTCTGTTTCTATTTTTATTTTATTAGAACACACACACACAAATAAAGACTCTTTCACACACATAAGTCTTATACACTGTGTTAATAATTAAGAAAGTAAAGTACTGTATAAAATAAATTATATTAGAATTTTTATTATTATTTTCAACTTTCAAATAAATTTTTAAAATTTGATGAATTAATTAAAGTATAAAATAAAACTATAAAAATATATTATATAAAACATTTAACTTAGATTTAGCTTTAGCTTTTAGCAGGTCGAATGATTTTTTAAATTTTAAAAGACAAAAAAACAGTTTGCCGTTTTTAAAAAACTAAACCTCTAAAAGTCTAAATCTCGCATAACGAAACTAAACTTTTTATTTTAATTTAAAATGCAGACATGCATAAAAGACATAAACATTTATTTTAAGCCCAAACTACAAGACAAAAAAATCGCATTATTTGCAAACTGCAATCTTAAACGAACATCCTCCGTACCTTCTCACTCACCCTTTCAGAAAGGCATTTTGACAGCTCTACAATTCGTACAAGACGTTAGAAGACATTATTTACATGTTCGTGCAAAACCGATGTTTAAATCAACAGTAATACTAAAACACAAACTGGCTAATTAGCTGACTCGATCAAAATTAAACTGCATTCTACTTAGGATTTGAACACAACGTTGACCTGAAAGCTTATTGTCTTGTCTTAGTGCATTTTTTTATGGAATATGAAATTGGAATTGCCCTATGGCATCTTTCCCAGTGTACGCTCATGGATATATAATATATTATATAATAGATATCCATGTGTGTGTAGGTTATGTGTACGCTCTACTGGAAGCAAGAGAAGCAATGACGTCACGCATCCATTAAAATTGAGGATGAGGGATTCAAAAAAGTGGTCAGTGCCGGCTTTAGGAAAGGGGCGAGGTTGGGTGCCTCCCGAGGGCGCCAGGTAACTTGTACAGAAGTTCGTTATAAAGAGGTCTGAGAGTATTTATATTTTTGTATAGCATATGTATATTTGTATATAAAATTAGGTTTGAGACTGTCGTAGACATATATATATTCTATATATATGATCGTAGATAAGAATATTTTCTTAACAATATTTGTATATACGCATGTAAGCACCCCTTGGCACATTGTACATTTATTTGTTCACATGCGAACATATGTAAGTGTATATTATTAATTACTGAACGATGAGCGTATTGTATATATGCAAAATGATTTGAAGAGTGAAGAAATTACGATTGTATCGCTAGGACCATCTTATTGATGTTACTATCTTGATTCTTTCAATTACTTTTAAATTGCCAAATATCAACACAAAGCACTATCATTGAGAAATTCGTCTTTCAAAATGTGTTTACATCATGGATGTCTAGACTTGTTATACCAGATGTCCAGAGATCCATGATTAACATTCTTTATTCTTTAAAAAGAATTAACACGTATAATGATTAACATGTGTGGTGCCTGCATAATCGCACATGTTTTCATAATATATGTAGGTATGTTTTAATGTACGTTTGTAAATAAAAGTATATACAGAAATCGATAAAGTGTTATAAATTAAATTTGTAATAAATTTATTTATTGAGTTATTTAATGATAGGAATGCAATATAACAAAGTTTAATGTTGGGTTTGAGTAGTATTGGCAAGCTATGAAGCTACAATCACAAGTTATATCACAAATTTGTGTTTTTAAATCCGATTAAATTCGACTCCGGTTGGATTTAAGAAAATCAAATCTTCTCCTAATATTCTATGTAAATTAATGAAAACACAAATTTTGATGAGAATTATAAAAAAGTTACTGTTTAAAAACTTGTAAAAATAGGTTTCGGCCTGGCCGAAACTTTGGCGGAAATAAGATTATCTTGCCGAAACCATGGATATATCTATGGCCGAAACGGACCAAATTGTTGATATAATATAATGTAATGTAATATACAAAACTTCACGCACAAAATCAACATTGTATTTGAGAGAAAATAGTTAGTTCCGGTGATTTAATTTCCCTTCGTCTGGTTTTGTTGGGTGATATGAAAGCGGGTGATGTTTGTCATATCATGTCAAGTTTGAAAGGGAGTTAGACACGAAGGATTGCAGTACCTATATCAGAAATTTTTGCAAAAGTATTAAAAAGACTATGCGAAGATTTTACGCGTCTAGTCTAAAATGTCTACCCATTTACCAACCCCGAATTATGGACGACTGGGTTGGCCGGGTTGAAATAAATTTGTCATGTCAAATCAAATTATATATATCCATGTGTCAAATGCATGAAATAAATCAATTAAAAAATAATCCAAATTAATAGAATCAAAAAAAGAATAAATATTCATTAATAAACTATAAAACTGTAAAATTTGATGAATTTGATATCTGGATATACTAAAGAATGAGTTCAAACTCTAAAGCTCACTAAAAATGTGTGCAAGTGCGTTTGAGAGCCAGTAAAAGTATATTCTTTTACACATATATAAAGTATATACATATTTTATATATATGTACATAGTGTTATATTTTATATATGTGATTCTATATAACTTGATTCAACATATATGGGATATTTTAAAGTAAATGTTCACCTAACGCATCAATTATGAAAAAGAAGCATTAGATTGTTTTGTCAAATAATTAAAAAATAAATGTTTGAAAATAAAATAATATCTAATAATATAAAAAATATAAAATAAAATAATTAAATAAAATACATGAATAATTGTTACCGATTCATTTGAACAGCTTATTCCTTTATAAAACGAAACTAGCGTAAAGTTTCGTCAATTTTTTTCATTAACTCATCTAACGCATTAAAAAGTATTGGATTGTTTCGTCTAATTTGAGGAGTAAATTAAAAATTAGATGTTTTTAATAAATTAATTTAGCTATTACTATTAAGTTTATCTATATTAGTTGCACAGCATGTCTCTTAAACTGTTAACTATAAAATAAATAAATATTCTGGGAAAAACACATTACACCTATCCCCCGATTTACACGGTAGATACGTTCCTGAGAAAAACGTGTAAATCGAAAATTAAAAACTTTCAAGTCAAAACCGTGTAAATCGAAAAGCTTGCAGAAAATGCACAATTTTGCTATTTAACAGTTGTGATTTTTTTCAATATTTTTAAGTGTACACAGAAATAAAAATAAAATGCATTGACAGATTAAAATATGTAATATATTACGGAAACACTGTTTTTTTATTTATTAATAATTACAATACATTAAATAGAAGAACAAAAAATAAAACCAAAGGTGCTTTATTATCATTCATCACTGTCAGAAATTACTCTCATTCTTTTTTTCGGAATCGAAGGTTCGAATTTACTTTCATCAGTCGAAGTTATTTGTGCCGATTTGATGTTTGAAGCAGAAATATTTACTTTATGAGAAATGGTAATAAAATTGGTTATTAACAATTGCTTCGAATTTTTTGTAAATTCTTTGTAAACTTCTTCATATTGAGCCAAGCAAGCACGTGTTCAATAACAGTAGCATTTAGTAGAGTGTGATAAAAACAAATCCATTTATTTGGAAAACCGTGTAAAAGCAAAAACGTGTAAAACAAGTACCGGGGGATAGGTGTACTGGCATTCGGTTTTGTTCTGCCAACTAGAAAGCCCAAATGTTTCTTTATTTGGTTGTTTAGTTTTCCCTTTTTTTTATTAATCTTTGTGAAAAATGCCAATAGAAGATTATTTAAATGTTATCTTGTTAGGAGTGTATTCGCTGATGGCATACGGACGCGTTCTACGGGGCTTACAAATTTGTTCAACACAAGGCTCAACTTGTTGAAGTGAGGTTTGCGTTTGTTTACTTACAATTTTGGTAATTTAATACTTAATACTTCAATAAGCCAACTAGTAGAAATAGAGTGCAAAAAAGTGCAGTCATTTTATCAAATCATCATTTTATATTTTTATAATAATTATCAATCAATCATTCTGCGTTTAGCGTACAGAGACCCGGTTTTCCCTAGGTAGGACGTTGTTTTCTTTGCCATCAATTTTCAGCGCCAAATTAGGTGATAGCGACTCATTTCGTTTAAATTTAGAGCTTTCATATCTTGCTCGATTGTTTGCGACCAGGACTTCTTTGGACGGCCTTTGGGACGTGTACCAGGTACTTCAACATCTGCAAGATAAATTATGGCACTGTTTCCACTTCGTTTGACATGATCAAACCACCGCAGACGGTGTTGCCAGCATTCGTCCTTTATATCATCTAAACCAGCACGACACAGGATTTTGGTAGATTTGATGTGGTCCTTCAGACTAATTCGTTGCATCCATCGGATCATTTTCATGTCGGTTCGTTGAAGTTGTTGTTCCAGTTTGGTTGTCATTGGCCATGTTTCTGCACCATATAACAAGACCAGACGTATCACAGATTTATAAAGTCTTGATCGTAGTGGTAGTGGGATGTCACGCCGCATCAATATAGAGGCAAGGAGATGCCATTTATTCCAGGCTGCACGTATGCGTGCTCGAACGGCAGCTTCAGCCGTTCCAGTACAATCCAGAACATCCCATATATATTGAAACGATGTGACTTTCTCTATTTTAATGGCTTCAAAAACATTGCAATTTCGAATTTGTTGTTGTGGATTGATGCAAACGGGACAAGCAAAATTTTTATAATAATTATATGTGTTATTATGATTATAATACTTAATTTTTTAATTTAACACTTATTAATAAATGCAATCTCTCAATTAATTTATTTAGAAATTTAGTTTTTTTATAAAACATCTTCCTGTTATGAAATAGGCAAGCAGTTGAATCATGCAATAAATAAAGCTCCCAACTAATGCCTCCTGTACGCTACAATAGTTAAAAGTGTGAAGGCCCTGGAACCCCCTGTCACTGGGATTTAGTCGAGTTTGAGTTTGGGCATGAAACTATATTGTCGTTAATATGAAATTGTTTTATTATTCATATAGGAGGATTTTACCATGGTCAGAATAACTTTTCATCTGAATTAAACATGTTTCCAAAGAAATAGAATTTCATGAACCATCCAGGCGCAACAAAATCAAGCAGACAAAATTCACTAAAATGTGTTGACTTTTTCTGGCCAATCCTCGATTTGAAGAACTTGAGGGATTTGCAGCAGACTGCATTGAAGTGACCAACGTGATGGTTTCTGACTACCTGCCAGTGGCGGATTAAGTCAAGCGGGGGCCGTAAGCAGAAAAAAATTTGAGGCCCCCAAACTTAGTGTGTCGTGGAGAGGCTTTTTAACTTTCAATTATTTCCAACTTATAACTATGTAGGTGATATACATCTTTGAACTAAAAGCAACTTTTAACGAATTTGAATATATTTTGTCGAAAGATTTGTTACAAACATTAATATATTAAGTGCGAAATTTTTAAAATATTAAACACTGAATTATTCAAATTAAATGTTCAAACTTTTTTTATTTACAAACACAACACACACACACGCACACACACACACACACATATATATATATATATATTATGGAACGTGTCCGCGCTCATTTAAGGCTCTTCCAGTGCTTAGTGTTTAGGGTTTGTCTTTTTCCTATGGTGAACACCTTTCCTGGGATACAATCATTGCAAATATTTTTGTCGAGCGCCATTTCAGACTTCATACTATTTGTGATGTGCTTCATAGATTAAAATTTGGTCAAATACAAATATAAAAAAAAATACAAAATTTCCAAATAGTCAAAAAAATATGTTTGACAATAATGTAATTCGAAAAGAAGATTAAAAGAAATCATTGGAAAATAATAATCGACAAACAACATTTTTTTCAAATAAATTTCTTCTTAGCTTTACTTCTTGCAAATTCATCAATAATTTTGGCAGTGTCAACACTATTCATTATTTCTTGTTCTATATAAAAAACAGCTAAATTATTTAATTTTTGTTCCCCATTGTACTCGTCAAATAATTTTTAATTCTTTTCAAAACAAAAAAAGATCTTTCACCAGATGCATTAGATAAAGGAATAGTTAAAAAAATTTTCAATAATATTTCAATATTGGGAAATGTGCATGACATTTCTTTGGCGGCTTTATAGATTCTTTCAAATGATAAATGAAATCTTTGTTATTACTTGAATTATCTGGCTTATTCTTAATGGCGTCCTCATTTTCCTTCAAAAAAAATAAAAAATGGTTTAGTTCATCTTCCAAATTACAAACATCAATGTCATTTCTGTAAATATTTTTCAATTCTTTCTTCTGACAAATTCCAATCAAGAAATATACGAAAATGTTCCAAAACAACCTCATATTTTTGAACTCTTTGTAGCAATTGTGTTTTAAATGTATTGATTTTAAAATTATCTCTAGTTGTAAATTTATACTCTTCTTTATTTTCATCAAAAAACGCATTTCTTTTTCTTCTGTTAAAAGTTACTTCATCTTCCTCACTAAAAGATTGTTATCCTGATAAATCGGTTGCTTCTGTCATAACTTTTTCATAATCATTTCTGAAATTCTCAATAAAACTGTCTAATGATTTAAGTAGCATTGATCCTTTAAATAATTCACATTCTATTGATTGCAGTGACTTACTGGCTGGTAGAATTTTTTCTTTGCAGGATACAATTCCAAATAACAGTCACAAGAGCGGTTTCGTATTTACTCATTTTTTTAAGTAGTGATGTTGCTTCAACCATAGTGATAGGTTTTTCATCCTGTTCATTGCATAGGTCAGTTAACGTTTCTTTTATTATTGTATATTTCAGTTTTAAAGCTAAAACAGCATCAGCTCTTGCTGACCATCTTTTATCTGATACCCTTTTTAACGAGAGAGACTGATCAACATCTATTTTGTTGTTCAGCATTTTCCAGCGATGAGTTGATGATGTAAAAAATGTAAATAACTTTTGCACAAACATGAAATATTGAACCGCGGTGTTACAGCTCTCAGCAGCAAAATTTCCAACTAAATTCAATGAATGGTTAGCACAAAGAATAAAAACCGCACTCGGACTATGTTCTTTAATACGTGCTTGTAAACCTGAGTACTTTCCTGACATGTTCGAAGCGTTGTCAAAAGATTGACCTCGACAGTTTCATTAAAGTTTCTAAAACTTCTTTTTCCAAGTATGAAGATTTGTGCTTATCAATAGAAACGAACCCTAAAAATCGTTCCTTTATCTTACCAGAAAAAGAAACATATCTTATCACAAAAGTAAGTTGGTCAACATGAGCAATATCAGGAGTGGAGTCAATAATTATACTGTAATAAGTTGCCGATTTAATTTCTTCAATTATTTCAGCCCTTACTTGATTGCCAATGAGGCCTACAAATATGTCACAAATATGATAAGATAAATAACTTGCATGATCCCGTCCTTGGTTTGCATATTTTTGTAAATGTAATTTTAAAAATTCATCATATTCACTTAAATATTCCAAACAGGTCAAATAATTTCCTTTTCAATTGAAATTTTTACTTTCATCATGACCGCGAAATCCTAATCCTAAGCGGCTTAATAACTGTATTGTTGAAACAATCCTTTTTAAAACTTCTCTCCAATAATACTCTTCTTTTTCTCTTTCCTGCAAAAGCTGAGCATCAACTCTGCTCAAAGCAGTTGATCTTTTGTACAGAGTGCACATAGATGACATGTGTTCTTTTGAAATTTCATGGTCTGATAAAAAAAACTGTTATTGATCTCCAATTTTCAAAACCAGTTATTAATTTGGACTTTTTCTTGGAGAAAAGTTTGCAAGGGTAACAATAAACGCACTTGCTAGTTTCGGAAAATACCAGCCATGTTCTTTTTTCCAAAACTCCGTTTGATTTTTTTCTATAAAAATGATCATTAGAGAGCCCTCTGCTGTAGTAAACATCATCTTTTACTTTAAACACCGATTTTAAGTTTTCTATATTTCCTATATTTTAGGGTTTATTTTTTAAAATATAGTCAATAAATGAATCAGACAAACTGGCTGGCCATAAGGCTATATCATTAATTTCTTCATTTTTCTTATTATACAATTTATCTGGATTTTCTCTGTCTTCTGTTATCTCACTATTTTTTTTTCATCAACCTGATGTTCACTTTCTCCTTCTTCTTCCCTTTTTTCAACACTTATTCGTCTGTGACAAGGTTCAAAAGAAGATGTTGATGGCACAGGTAACTCGATATCGCTATTTACTAACAAATATTTATGAAATGCATTTTTCTGACTTTCAACAAATTCCTGGATTTTTAAGATTTTTTTCCGCTCCACTTTGATGTCTTTTCATTTTTGTACTATGAAAGAAGTCGTTTTTATTATATAATTACGTTTTAATAGCATCTATCTGCCAAGTTTGAATTTTAATATTGAAACAATTCAATTAATTATAAAAGCCATTTGTAATTAATTAAAATGAAATTCATTTAATGAATTTATATCAAAAGTAAATAAAAATGTTTACCACTTAGGTACTTGAAATAAAAGAAAAAAACAGACAACTAAATAACGTTTTAATTATTTGACCACAATACTTTTTAAAAAAATAAAAACACGCGCTTTCAACAACAAAACAACGATACGATATTAAAGACAGAAAAGTAGGGAAGAAATATCACGGTGGCTAACGAAACGAATGACAGATTGTTTTCAAACATATTACTGTAAACTGCTAATGTTTGCAAACGCTTATTAACGTTGAATTCAGCATAGTAATTGAAAGAATTTTTTAATAATTTCATTATATTTCAATATTTATTTCAGTTATTTTTATAAAATAATTTTTTTACGGGGCCCCCTTTCCATTAATAACAAATATTATTTAAAATTTTATGATTTTTTTCAAATTTTGAAATTTCATTATACTGGAAAATTTATTTGAAGTATTTTTTGAGGGATAAAATTGTACACGGGGCCTCCTGGCCGTCCGGGGCCCCTAGCAGCTGCTCAGTCTGCTAAGCGTTAGATCCGCCACTGCTACCTGCTGAACAGCTCGCCTGTTGTGTACTCTACTGACATTACATTCTCTGTTATTAGGGGCAACTGGACTCATGGTCGTCACCTCACAGGACGAATTTTAAAAGACGTTTCTGGCAGTCTGTCGCGCTATGTGCCACCATCTCAGCGACGTCACGAGCACCAACTAATAGCGGTTCTTGTTTGAATCTTGGACTGCAGATTAGACCGCCTCTTGATAGCAACTGTTTGTTTTTGCTGAGTTTGACGAATAAGAATCAGGTTGTTGAGTCTATCAAAGGCTGGTCTCAGTGATATGTTAATTGGTGTTCATTCCGTCATTGTTTGTAGACCTTTCTATAAAAATTTATCGTTCAAATTTTTTATTGTTTAATTTACTCAATACCGATCACTACACAAAATTTAGTTACTTTGATAACTTTTTTCAACCATTTCTGCCAAAAACATTTCCCAATCAAGAGGTGATTGTTTACTGTTTATTGCAAATTTTAACAAACCACCGAGTTATTATGTTTATTGATAAAAAATGAACATAAAATATTTCAAATGTCAGCCTGAAATGTCATCAACCTTGTGTCCAGAACGTAAAAAAAAAGAATGTCGAGCATTTCATAAAATCAACAAGGTTCTCTAAAACCACAGCGTTCAAGTGCAACACAAATTATTCTAATTCTCTATATAAAGTGACCGACTAAATTGAGAAACTCAAGTCATCAAAATTTGGTATGTCTTGATTTTTCAAATTCTGGATGTCACAAATAGGATCCGCCATCTGTCGTTAATAAAACTAAATTATAAAATTGAAAAAATAAAATTTCGAGACATTTACATTGACGACGATGACATTGTTTAAAACATTAACATCAAAAAGAACTTAAAATTAGTAATGTAACAAAAAGATTACGATTTTTCTATTTATATTATATAACATGCTTACCGTTGTTGGGTAAAATAATTTCAATAGACATCCAAGGACCTTCATCCTGGACAACAACTCGGTCTGTGAACTCCACATAACTATTTGGATCTTTAAACTCGCCGTTTATACAAACTGGATGACTAAAATAAACCAAAAAATTTTACTTTTTTAACGTGATAAAATAAAAAGTAATGACTTTTACAACCAAAACAGAGACTTGGAAAAGTTATAACAATCATAAATACCGCACTTGAACATACTCATTTATATTGTGGACAATCCACTTGCTATTTGAATGTTGGAGATATATGCCATGTGAGAAGATATCATCAAGCAGTCCTCGCAGGCGGACGTCTAAATGATCAGTTATTACCCACAAGTTCCCGTTTTCATTCTGTAGTGCAAGTTTAATTACGAAAAATAGGAAATTTGATTGTTCAAACTACGGATGACTTCAGAAATGCACACATGCATATGAATTTCGATGAAAGATGAAAAAAACACTAAGGCCACAACGCCTTTTAAAACTAAATTTAAAAATCATGTCCAATTCGTTTTTTAAATGCAAATTTTAAACATTAAATTTAATAAGCAAATTGATCACAAACTTGTGGATTGTATTTACTGCTGTTGATCAACAATCCAGCCGAGTATGACCTGATGTCAACCATCAAAGTAGTGGGTATGCCTACGAATATCAAATTAATCTGGACCGTTGTTTCGACGTAGTCACCTTGTCAAAATGTAAAATTTTCATCAGTTAGAAAGAATTAAGTCACAATACACAGACACACATACACAAACAAAAGCATTTCAACTATTGTGAAAGAAAATTATTTGAAGTAAGAAACGTAAATGAAAAATATAAATGAATAGCAATTTAATCAAAATATTAAAACTATTGTAAATAAAGATCAATGACATATTTTTATAATCTAGTTTTATCCTCAAAATGTTATTCACATTAGATTTGTTGGAAAAAGGCAGGTTCGTCGTTCGATGAGTGATCAAATTACACAAAAATGTTTTGAAAATAATTATTCAAAATAAAAATGATGCCGAATCAGTTTGATTTTTTGAAAAAAAAATCTAGTTACTCAATTATAGGCGCGTATAAACGTGAAGGAACGCAATTATTTTGAAAGGCTTGAAATGTCATTAGCTGATGCATTTGTGTTATTATGAACTTCAAATAATGATTTCAAATTATTAAACACGAATGGAATCTCTGCAGCAACAAAAAATAACTAACCAGTCTGTTGAGAGGGATCAGCATCGTTTATACTGACTTCTTCCAGCTTGTTTGACAACATCTGGACATCTATCAAGTCAGAAGTTCGAAGACTTCTCAGATCCGATGGTAAGCTTTCACTTAAATCTTTTCATGACAAATTTATGAATGTGACGTTAATTTTATAGGCATGGCCTCAGCTTATTGCTTTTATCAATTTTTATCTAATTAATAAACACAACAAACATGGTGTTATAACCGCCGAAATGATCAAATTGCGCTATATCATTTGTTATCCTAATTATTGTTATCTTTGCTATATTTGTAATATTTGGATTGTAAACCATAGAGGACTGTAAAGAGATATCGAATCTATGCTAAAAATCTACTGTAGAGACTATGCAAGAATTTGTGGATAGAGGTTTTTAGAGATGTTTCCAACGAGGTTTGAAGCAAAGTCGTAAATGTGATTTATGTAGCTACTTGGATTGGTTTAGTGTTTCTATTAGTGCTGGCATTAACGTTCAACAAAGTTTGCGCTTGAAGAAGTTGTGTTCATCTATCGGAAAACTTGAACCTACGGAATAACGATAACTAAACGATCGTTGGAAGCTACAACACTGGTGTCGGAAATATAAAGATCTTTGAAGTTATAACGTTGGTGTTGATAGTTACGAGCATCATTGGTTACAACAATATTTTAAGAACTATTTTCGAGGTAATGCAAAATTTTTATAGCGACAAAATAAAATCAAAAATTTAGAGGAGGTTCTTATTTATAAATCAAACTGCTCCGCCCATGGCCATAGTCAGGAATTTTTTTTGGAGAGGTTGTTGCAAAGGCGGATCTAGGGGGAAATGCAGGAATTCTAAAAATCACTCCAACTAAACGGGAACAAAAAGAAATAGCAAAAAAGACCATCAACTTGACAATTTTTAAAACACTCCCCATCGAGAACTTCAGACTCAGACTCGTTAAACGGTTAGTCGAATGGCTAAGCAATAAACTTGTTATATTAAGTATTTCTGAAAATGCATAATCTAGAAAAATATAACGATCTCGTGAAGTGCAGATTATCACAACAGCTTGAGATGGTCATTTTTAAAATGGTCAATCTAATCTTGATCAGCATCAAACCAAATGGCGTATTTAATCAATCGTTCTCATCGTTTATGATTGTTAATATCAGCAAAGCAATTATAGTATGGACATCAATTTATTTTGGCCTTTAATGAAATTTTCTTAATTGCCATCTTTCGTTACAATCTAAATCATAACAACAACAGTAATCATCGTCTTTGTCGTCACATTCAGTAACAAGCAACATGTTTAACAGTCCAGGAAGTAATATGAGCATGTGTATATGTAGAGCATCTTGTGCCATGTTAAGAGTCACTTAACTTGAATAACAGTCAGCTAATTCGTAAATCAGCTTTGTAAGTATTTCACTGAAATAATAAACACCTGTCATTACTTCACATATAAACATGGGATGTCAGCAATTAATGCAAATGTTTATTTATTTATTTAATTAATTAGTTATTCAATGTTTATACTAACTTTCTTTGGCCACATAAACAGGGATTTCTAGATGTTTATCAGTGGGCAACTTCAATGAAAATAAATTTTATCTTTTAAAATTCATTTTACAGAAAAAATTATATTATTCAAGAAGTCATAAATTTTAATTAGGAAATATATTGTGGATAAAAATGAAAAATACCCACGGCAAGTTTGTAAATCAGATCATTTAATGATTTTAACAACTGGTGTTATGGGCAATGAATTACAAATAGAAAGCTGAAAAATTTTTCAAACTAATTATTATTATTTAAGCAAGAATTATCCGAAATTTTATTCTGGAATAATTTTTAAATCTTTAATTTTTAAGCCTTTAAATCATTAGCTTAAGAGTTTATATCACCTAATGAATTATTCTAAGTTTTAGAGATAGGTAATTTACAAAGTCAATCAATCTTCGTTTTGCGTCCAGAGACCCGGTTTCCCGAGGTAGGACGTTGTTTTCTTTGCCATCAACTTTTTGCGCCGAATTAGACGATCAGTTGTATCCATTTCATTTAAATTTAGAGCTTTCATGTCTTGCTCGATTGTTTGCGACCAGGACTTCTTTGGACGGCCTTTGGGACGTGTGCCAGGTACTTCAACATCTGCAAGAGAAGTTATGGCACTGTTTCCACTTCGTTTGACATGACCAAACCACCGCAGACGGTGTTGCCGGCATTCGTCCTTTATATCATCTAAACCAGCACGACGCAGGATTTTGGTAGATTTGATGTGGTCCTTCAGACTAATTCGTTGCATCCATCGGATCATTTTCATGTCGGTTCGTTGAAGTTGTTGTTCCAGTTTGGTTGTCATTGGCCATGTTTCTGCACCATATAACAAGACCGGACGTATCACAGATTTATAAAGTCTTGATCGTAGTGGTAGTGGGATGTCACGCCGCATCAATATAGAGGCAAGGAGATGCCATTTATTCCAGGCTGCACGTATGCGTGCTCGGACGGCAGCTTCAGCCGTTCCAGTACAATCCAGAACATCCCCTAGATATTGAAACGATGTGACTTTCTCTATTTTAATGGCTTCAAAAGCAGTGCTATTTCGAATTTGTTGTTGTGGATTGATGCAAGCAGAACAAACAAAATTGGACACTTTAGATAAAGAACCAATTATTTTTGAACAACGTTTGTGACACCACTGGTTACACTGCTGACACTTGATTGAATTGTTACCTACACCAGCTTTACAAACTGAACAGGGCCATCGTCCAGTAGCTGTGAATTGGATGGGTTCACTAGTGTTCATTGCTTTGGTTTTGCTGATGTTGACTTTGAATCCATGATCGGCGAGTCTGGTGTTCCAATCTTCAAACATCTGTGCTGCATTCTGCTCAGACGTGGCTGTTAAAACGATATCATCAGCATATACTAGATTCCAAATGTCACCAGTGCGTATCGGTTTTGTGATTTCTTCCATCACAGTTATAAATAACAGTGGACTGAGAATCGAGCCTTGGTGAACTCCAATGCCGATGTCAAATGCATCTGTGTTTCCAACCGTTGTGCTGGCAAGAGTCTTAGTATTCGTATACATTTCCATCACAAGTCTAACAAGATATTCTGGAATGAATTGTCGACGTAGACTCCATCTGACTGCTTCACGGGGAACTCGATCAAATGCTTTTTCAAGGTCTACAAAAATGTGTGATAGCTGTTGATGCTTTGCGAGTTACTTCTCTTGCAGTTGCCGAAGGATGTGAATTGCATCAATTGTTGATTTCCCCGCTAGGAAACCAAATTGATAATTTCCGATTGTGATGCACGACGTTAATCTTCTCTCGATGATTTTTTCAACAATTTTCAGGGAGTGTTCTAACAGACGTATACCCCGATATGAGGAACAGTTCAATGGATCACCTTTGCCTTTGTATAGAGGGACTGTCATGCTATAGTTCCATTCAGTCGGCATTGAGCAATTTCTCCAGATTTCACGGCAAAGTTGTAGTAACGTTTGGATACCTGCAGTACCAGATGCTTTGATAATGTCATTTGTGAGTCCCGAGGGCCCTGCTGCCTTTCCATCCTTCATAGCTTTCAGAGCTTCTGTAAGTTCCTCTACAATGATGTCTGGAATCGGACCTTCAATGGGTGGAGCGTCAAAGTTAACATTGATTGGATTTGTTTCGTTTAACAGACGGTTGAAGTATTCTCTCCACTGTAGCTTGATCTCATCTCGTTCAAGAACCATCTCATTTTTGTCATTTTTTATACATGAGGCACCAACTATGTCTTTTTTCGTACGCTTTGCTTGTTTTGCTATATGATACAGAGATTTCATTTGTTCACCTTTACTTTTAGTGAGCCACTCTCTGCACTGATCTGTCCGAGCCAGTGCAACTTGACGTCTTGCATAGTTGTTCTTCTCATGGAAAATTTTATGGTCATCAACAGACTTTGATTTTTGCCATTACTTGTATGCAACTTTCTTTTCAGCTATTGCATTTTGTACACTGTCATTCCACCACCAAGTGTCACGTTCATGCTGACGTTTTGTACCAGTTTTCCCACAAACCGTAGTTGCAGCGTTCATCAAAACGGTTTTGTATGTACTCCAATCTGTACTGGCTTGCGATTGGTGGTCTAACTGTGTTGCGACGATCTGTTGAAATTTTTCTCGATGAATATTGCTTATCAGCTTCCACGTTTTGATTCTCCGAGGCATTGGTTTAGACTTATGTTTTGACAGTTCGACAACCAGGTCTGCCACAAGGAGTCTATGTTGGGCGACAGATGATTCGCCAGGTATAACTTTGACGTTTTTGAATAGCCTTCGGTGTTGTTGCTTGACAGCGAAGAAATCAATTTGCGTGGCTGATGGTCCACTTTTGTATGTTATGAGATGTTCCAACCTCTTTCTAAAATATGTGTTCAGTAAACAAAACCTGTGACTTTCAGCAAACTCAAGGATGCGGTTGCCATCTTCATTCCGGTTTCTATAGCCAAAACCGCCATGTACGTTGTCAAAACCATCTGTTTTCTCTCCAACGTGGCCATTGAGATCGCCTCCAATCAGGATTGTTTCAGATTTTGGTATTGTTGAGATGGTGTCAGAGAATGCAGTCCAGAAGTCATTTTTCATCTCTTCTGATTCGCCTGTCTGTGGTGCGTATGCAGAAAAAATAATCATTGTTTGCTTTTCTATGCGAAGCTTGATCCACATAAGACGTGAATTAATTCTTCTAATATCCAGTACTTCTTGGGCTAGCAGTTCTCTGACAAAAATTCCAACACCATTTTTGGCAGTCTTTTGACCATTCCAGAATAGTTTATATTTTTATATTTTATATTTTATACTTTTTATATTTTTTATTTTACAAAGTGTATATTAATAAAAATGCGAAATCCAAGAAGCGGTACAAATGATGTAAAATTGTAAATTGATTGTGTAAGTTAAGGTGGTGTAAATAAATAACTAGTAAGAACCGTGGTTTCCTTCAAGTGATCCACAGTAACAAACTTCGCTGGTTCTCTGTCTAATGAAAAAAATAAATCAAAACAATACAAAAATATGCTTCCAATACAAAATCATCTTGTTATATTGGATCATTTTAAACAGTGACTCTAATTATTAACATAACGAATTTAAGTAAGCTTCCATCATCACAAACCAAAATGAAAAAGTTTACAACGAAGCATCACTGTGCAAAAAATATAAATCACCATCCAAAATATAAACCCTGTCTACAAGTTTGAGCTGGCATTTAATAGCCCTAAAAATACTAGATGAATTCGAAATTCTGTTTCGTTGATAACCATAGAAAATAATTCTAGCAGATTAAATTAGACCTTGTAGGTCATTTGACGCAACATTCAAAACACGACTGCAAACACTTAATACAGAACACATAGAGTACATAGAAGACATTAAATAACTACATCATTTTTTATTAATTTGTTTGATTAAAATAGATTATTTTAAATAATAGTTACTTGCTTAATAAAAAGAAAATATCAAAATGGACTAGAGGCAATAATAAAAAAAGCAAGTAAAATAAAATGAGTTCTCGTAACAAATAAATTGATAAATATTTCGATATAACTTAAAAAAATTTTGTATTGATTTCGAACAATATAACATGTTGGAGAACATGAGATATTTTATAATAACTAACTGACATTAATAAACATCATAATATGGTGAAGAATAGAGAACACTGTAATATGGTGGAGAACATCATATCAAATCTCAGTAAAGGATTCCTTTAAATTCATCTGAACTATTAAATTAGGAGTAACAACTTTAGAATAAACAAAAATTTTCAAACTTATTTCTTTCCAACTGTTACAGCCAAATTCTATATAACGAAAATCTCTATACAAAGAATTTTTTTATGTCCCTTGAAATTTTACATATAAAAAATAATTTCTCTATAACGAACAAAATTTATAAAAGTTGAAAAAATATCCGACCAGCAAATATTCTGTGGATTGATATGAGCGGAGTTTTGTACTCCTTTAATAATGTTAATAATGTTATATCCCCCTGAATGCTCGGAACTACGTTACATATAATTATTGTTATCTTGTTACATTTGTTATCTTCGCTATTTGTCAATTGAATCTCTTCATACCATTGAAGCTATATATAGGGGGCGAGAGTAGCGAAGTCAAGTAGCGAGGTTCGAAACGAAGTCGTAAATGTGATCTAGGTAGCTACTTGTATTAGCTTAGTGTTTCTATTACTGTTGGCATTCAAATAAACGTTCAACAAAGTTTGGGTTTGAAGCAGTTGTGTTCATCTATCGGAAATTTTAAGCCTACAGAATAACGGTAACTTGACGATCGTGGAAGTCTACAACACCGGTGTTGGAAATATAGAGATCATTGAAGTTATAACATTGGTGTCGATAATTATGAGCGTTAAAGTTTACAACAATATCTTAGAACCATATTTATTGTTCCTTGTTCTAGTATTCTAGTAATTTTTGCGAACTCTACCTCAATCAATTTCAATGGAATCTGAATCATTGATGCATGGAACAAAAAATAAATTTCACTTTTAAAATATCAAATTTTATACCATGTATTATTACTTTCTGTTATCAAAATAAATAAATTAGGGGGTTGTTTTTCACAAATAAACACCTTTTAGGCAATATGGAATTTTTTCATGAACAAATTCCAAATAATGAAACTTCTACATAAAGAAATTTTTACTGGAACCAGCAAATTCGTTATAGAGAGGTCTGACCATATATTGCCTACCCTTATCAGCTTATCAATTGAATCCGATTTTTTTTTAAATGTAAATAAGTAGAAAATTTTAGTTTTTTAAATGAAATCTTTGAAAAATGTTATTGATCAGTAACTATACAATCAAATGAATAATGGCTGATGTTTGAAATTAGTGTTATTATTCTTTGTGCAGCATATATAAACTTTATTATAAAGAAATGAAAATATACTTCTTATTCTGAAAAATTTATGGTTTGGATGCTTTTTTTCCTCATCAATGATTTCCTCAAAATCTTTGGACTTGTTGAGTGCACACCTGAGCCTTGTCTTCCATCGAACATAATCCTCCTTATCTATTCCAACTCTGTATCTACCAGTGTGTTCAGCCCATTTCTGATTCAAAATTTATATTAATCCTATTATTATTTAAAACATCAATAAATAGATTTTTTACAAATTAACAAATTTTAGCATTATAAAGAATAATCAAATCAACTGTGTCTTGAATAGTAATGCATGCTTTATTTAAAATATAATAGCATGCTTTATTTAAAATATAACTAACAGTCAAAATGTTAATAACTCTTTTACAAAACATCGCAAATTGTATTTTGAACAACTAAAATATAAAAAGAAAAAACCTATTGCATACCAAATTTAGTAGTTTATTATGACTAGTATATCATAACAAATGCCCAACTGAATTGAAAATTAAAAAGCTGGGCCAAAAACAAAATCTAAATAGAAATACAGTAAAAAATAACCTTAAAAATTTCTTTCTCATTTTGATCAGGACAACTTTTGCTGCCTCTTGGCCAAGGAATCACAAATTGTGTGCGTTCATTGTCCAACCAATTCACCCCAGGCACTCCACCACTGTTTAAAATGCCTTCTAACCAAGGGCGTAAAATTTGTCTTGACTTTTCATCCGCCATTTTGTTTTTCTGAAATTCAGATCAGTGTAATTTTGTTAGTAGTTATTCACATGAACTGAATTTATTTTTCATCATCTAATTATATTATAATTATAAATATTTTATGACTTTGTACTAAAAGAAGCCAAGAAAATTTTACTGTCAAAATATAAAAAAATTCAATCTCTTCTCTCTCTCTCTCATGCAGTCTACAAATTTTATAGATTGAGATTGAATTTTGTAGATTTCAACAAAGTAGATGTCAGAGATCCCACCTGGCTTCTCTAAGTTCTTTTCTACAATATGATTAAGTCTTAATTTCTTAATCATTGAGGAATATCCTTTTAGCTTTATTTAGACTTAGAGAGCCTTTTTATAGGTGAATTAATTAAATAAAGTATTAAACAAGCTCTGACCTAACTATCCTAATTGGATAGTAGTACAGAATAATAAACTTTTAATCTAAAAAAATCTATTTAAATTTAAAAATAAACAAAATCTAAAAATCAGTAAATATTGAAACTGGGTAGATCTCTGACTTAATTGCTGAATTTTTTATAATTTTAAAGTGGTAAAATACTTGACAATTATTTTCTATTTTTTTTTTAAGAAAAATTCTCCCAAGCGAATCTTACTAAAATCGAAACCAGCTCCTCTTCCTTACTCCTAACCATATCTTGCCAGAAAATGATCTCTCGTACTGCGGATCAAATTAAATAGGGCTGGCTTGATAATCAGCGAGATGTCGTTGCAATAACTCATATAAGAAGGCCATCATGAATGAGAAAGCATAGGATTGTTTCATAAAATGATTCCACAATAAATGTATTAAAATTAATTGACAATATAAAATAATTAAAAAATTTGGAAAAACTAAATAGTTGATGTATTTTATGATAAAATTTTTTCATTCTCATAAAGTTCCGTCAGAACTTGAATAACTGTTACCGATTCATTTAAACAGCTCATTCCTTGAGAAAACAAAACTAGCGGAAATCCAACCATAGAGTTGTAAAAATGGAATTCAATGGCGACTCCTCAAGTCGACTAAGGACGTATTCAACTGAGTTCATATGTTATTTCTTAATTACTATATACTAATGATACTTATACAAGCCCTCGAACGCCCTCTCGCACATTTTTAGTGTCTAGTTTCACTTTAATTTCCAAGAACATTTTTCATCAAACTCATTAAATTTTAGAATTTTAACATTTTTATAGTTTATTAATATTTATTTATTTATTTTTATTTATTTTAATTATTTTTTGATTTCTTTTTTGTATTTGCAAAATATTTATGTGTATTTAGGTATTTATCTTTTTATGGTATCAATTTGAATTTGAAATTTTTATTATCTTGTTCATATTTTTAAACTTTTTGTCCAGAAATTCCGATATTAGATTTAACATAACATTGTTCACCTTTCTTTATAGTTATTAAAATTTTGTCCAAAACCACTTAGACATCACGGTGTCACCTCTCCGCATACGTATAGGCTAACTGATTTGTAATCATGCTTCGCAGGCACATCCCTGGAATTTAGGGTTGAATTCATATATAGAGAATATGAGTTAAAATATAAGGAAAAAAGACAAACACACACAAACATTCACTTTAAGAAATTATAATTTTGACAAACAACATAAAGCATATAAAAATTTATAGAATATTAAAATTATATATACAATATAAAACATGGTTAATGCCATATATATATATATATATATATAATGGGATCACTGTGATGTTGATTGCATTGTCAAGAATGAACTTAACTGAGTTGTTGAATCAATGGGATCACTGTGATGTTGATTGCATTGTCAAGAATGAACTTAACTGAGTTGTTGAATCAATGGGATCACTGTGATGTTGATTGCATTGTCAAGAATGAACTAAACTTATGCCGGAAAGAATTTATAAATGCATATATGCAATCATCAACGATGATTCATTCGGAATCGAAATATGGCCTTATTGCGGCATGAATTCGAAAAATAAGTTTATTTTGAATTTTAATAAACTAAACGTTCACCAAAAAACTTTAGTGAGAAAAATCGAAAAAACGAACTACAAACATATTAACGCCAAACATTCGGTAGAATTTATAGAATATTGTAAATATATATATATATATATATATATATATATATATATATATATATATATATGCAGAAACTGTTACAGCATGCAAGGCAGTAGTACAAAATTAAACAAATAAATAAACGGAGAAAGAAAAAAGTTTAAACATGAAAAATAAAATAGAATAAAATAAATAATAAAATAAATAATAAATAATTATATTGACAATAAAATAAATTGACAATAAAATCAAGTAATGGCAACGCAAATTAATAGACTAGCACTAGATGATGACTTAGTGAGTTAGTGAGGTGATCGATAAATAAAACCTAGTTATGTGAATGACAAAGTTTTGTTGAGTGTTAACATGTTTGAGGTGTCTTATGATGAAAGTCTTTTCCTGGTATGTAGGTTGGGTGGCGACTTAATAGTTTTAATTGGTGGTAGTAGAGGATGAATGACGTGGTTGTTGTTATTTTCTACTTTCTTGAACAGTCTTGAATCGAGTGTGTTGAATATCTGAATGACGGTAGAGTTATATGCAGGTAAATAGTTGAAGCGGATTAGTTTTTTGATGAGACATTTCAGTTGCTGAAGTTGTCGTGTAGCAAACCAGACCAGGAGGGAGCTGCATATTTGATGCGTTTACATGTATTTATAATTAAAGGATCTAATACTTTATTCTAATAAATAGGCTCAAAATTAAAATCTATTTGAACTTATATAATATAAATATATATATATATATATATATATATATATATAATACTTCTAAATTTTTAACACTTAATTTTACTTTTAATTTTTGGTTACTTCAGTCAACAATATTTTTAACTGCATTTCATATTTGTCAAAGTCAATATTTTCCTATATATAC